AATCCAATAGAGAACTCATCAGACGTCTTCATCGTCGCGCCATTGCATCCTTCAAGGCCTGATTCTCTCCTTAAGTAGCAAACAACAACTCTGACAAATTGAGTACTTCGACTTCGACAACCTTTGCAAATTTTTCTATCACCTTCATTCTCTCCTTGGCCTTCGACAATTTTTCATTAGCCTCTAGAAGGACCGTCGATTGGAAGTGAGAAGCTACCAGACCATCAACTAACACCGACCGGTCATCTAGCCCGGGCTTGAGAGTTTGCTCATGGATAACCTCCTTGAAATATCAAGATTATATCACATCAGAGATAGTTGATCATTGTCATTACAGGAGAATCTAAACATCAGAGATAGTAGGGTACAGAGCCATTACAGGAGAATCTAAACATCAATATCTCCTCAAATCGATCAAAGCGAATTGATCATCCGAGATAGTTGATCATTGTCAGAGACCGTTGAGGGTACAGAGCCACGACAGGGGAATCTAAGCATCAATATCTCCACAAATCGATCAAAGAGAATTGATCATCCTAGATAGTGCTCACCTTCGCCCTCTCCCCTTGCATTGAAACCCATGCAAGTAGGGTACTCTTCCGCTTCTTTCGGGGTTAGGGTGGGGGAAAGGGAGGGACACTCAGATCGGTTGCAAGAATTTTCCACTATGGAGACGCACCACCTATTGGCTAGGAGGCTCAGGCTCAAACTCATTCGCTTGAGCTAACTGAAGATGGGCGACCGGCTTCATCCCTTGATGACAAATCAATGAATATCAGAATGGAAGACTAAGGGGAGATGAATCTCGCTTTCGGTCTTTCTACCGAAGCCTCCCCCTCGACACCGCTCTCAACTTTACTCTGCTCGGTGTCCTCTCAACCTCTTGGTGTTGCACATCTGAAGGACTCGCAACCGATTGAAAGCTTTTAATAGGAGGCATCAGAAGCTCATCTCTCTATAAGGATTAGCTCACAAGTGGCGATCCTTTGAAAACAACAGAAGATTTAGACGTAGAATAAATTATTTCCGCACCTATAAGGCCTTTGTCAGGATGGACCACCAGAGGCAACTTCTGACCTGCTACTTAGGCAGTCTTGGGGCGAGAGGTTTCAGCATGAGCAGCCATTCATGACTTCTTCTTTACAGCTCGAGAAGTAGCCGTTGTTTCCCTCTTAGCCTCCCGAGCATCAAAAGCTGCCAAATCTGCCTCCGCCATTCGCCCGAACACTTCCGATTATAGCACCCGGTCGACAATTACTAGATCAAGATATTAGTGGACCGAAGGTTATTGCACTTCGACCCATGTTGCTTCCACCAGTACTCGATCCATCACCTTCGAATTGGTGGGAGAGCACAAAATGAAACATTCTAGATATTTCAGCCGAGGGAGAAGAACCGATGAAGAACCGAAGCTTCCTGTCCTTCCCCCTATTTTCCAGCCCTAACAAGTGGAGCTTGCCGAGAGAGGCAAAACTGAACATAACCGTCCAGGCCAACCCAAAACGAGAAAAAATATGTGAAGAGATCCATCAACCAGTGAATTTCTAACCGTCAGCAGAAAATGACAAAGGTCATAATGGCAGCAGTGAAATTTGGCAGATATGAGTGGGAATAACTTTGTATTGGTTGAAGATAGCTTGCAAGTCACGACAGAGAGGCATTCTCAAGCCACAACAAAATTGATCACTGCAGAAGAGGTCAAGGCCATACAAAGTAGTCGCTTGGTCGTGCTACCCTAGCGACCCGTAGCTTGACAGTGGAATCGCAGACGCAAGCATCCTGTGGTCGATCCACCTCCCCTTGAGTAATAGTCGATCGATTAATTGTGACGATCGCCCTGAAGGCTTTTAGAGAGTATTTAGGAGTCAGCAAAAAAAGCGCGAAGAACAGAAAGTTGAGGGAGTGAAGAGAAGTGAAGAGAAAAATGAAGTAAAAGCATTGCGTCAATCTAGCTCCTCGTCTTTATATATAGAAAAATGAAAGGAGCATAACTATCGTACATGGGTGAAAATAGATTTGCACAAGAATTTCAAAAATGCACTGAAAGAAGAATCATATCAACATATGAAGCAAGACAAGAAAGATAAATTTTATTTCAAAAAAAAGGAAAAAATATTACAAATTTCATTGGAAGCTAGTCCAAGAAAAATATTTGACAAAGGAAACGTCTACCGCTTCGACCAAGACATAACCCTACCGATGCAGTCTCTATACAAAACCTATCCCCTAACTTGATTTCGTTCACCCAATCTCTCTTGGCTTGAGCCCGGAGTATGAGGCATGTATCGCAGATGTCCGACAATTCTTGGTGAAGAGCAGCCATCTCCTCCTCCATCCTCTCCAATTTCTCCAATTGAACCAGCAGCTAGCGTATCTACTCCCCTCATTGAATCCCAACCGACCGAGCAAATTTCTCAATCTTGTCTCCACGGTGAGCTAGCCACCGAGGGATGTTCGGCGTCCATTAGTTGCTTTTTCACGGGCCTTACAAAGACTGCTCGGGCGTTCAATCCCACCATCGTCGCTCAGGGGTCGGCTGCTTTTGTAGGTACCTGGGCAGCCACCGCTGGCGTCGTGGTCGAAATTCCACCAACATTTGTTAAAGGCAAGTCATCACCCGAGTCTAGTGGGCCAACTAAATCAAAAGATAAAGGAGACTAAGAAAAAATCAAAACCAAATAAGACTGAGTCGCCTCATACCAATGAATCGATCTCACTCAAATCATGAAATAGACAAGACGCCCTTACTAGGTAGCGTCAGGGCACCAGCAATTTCTTACGTCGAGTGTGGCGGCAAAACACCATCTTTTTCGACTTCTTGTGCAGTATATTCAGTCGACATGTCATGTGTCACAATAGAAGATTGAGTCGCCATATCGATGGCCAAGCCGATCACCCGAATGTTCCTCCACCGAGGACCAAGGAACAAATCAGATGACCCCAAATGATCCGCTGACACAATCACTTTTCTATTATCAACATCGGTTTTCTTCTTTTCAGCTTCCAAGTAATATTGTTCTTCTAGAAGGCGACACGAATCATGTCTTTGTTGGGGGGACTAACTGAGGATTTGACGCATTCTCTATGACAATACTTGAAAATCAATCAATCCAAATGAGAAGAGATATAAAGAAAATATAAAATATCAACTAGTCCTATCATACCTTATTTATAAATGATAGAAGGCGCGAAAATTAAGAGAGTTCAATTATTGAATCATTAATTAAGAATTAATGTTATATACTATTTACATTAAATTCCCTTATTATTATCACATCATAGCTTTTAAGAAGTATGAGAATCGAAGAACTAAAACATGCACATTGAAAATGTGTCGGCGCTAATCCTGAGGTGATCTAACGGCCCTGAGGAGAGGAGTAGAACGAAGCATCCCCACTGACAGGAGACAAGGAGGTCCACTTATCCTATAAGACTTAATCATCCCAGCTAAAGCAAGTAATGTCAAAGTCGGCCGAGTTAAGAAAGATGATTGGATAACCAGAATTCGAGCAGTCAATCATAAATAGTACAAAGAGACATCCAAGTCAACCGACAAGAAGAAGCAAATTCGATGAAAGATCCAACCCCTCATCATCTCCAATTCTATCTCGTGTGTCCAGAAGCTCCCCTATCTATTATCAAGGGTAGTCAAAGAATAATTTAGCCGACCGAGCCAGTCCTGCTGACCCGAAGTCAATTGATCTCAGCCTACCACCAACTCTAACAAACCACTTGATCGATCCGAACCTGTCGATCCGTAGCAATACAAACTCAACTGAATGGTCTAAAAAGCAATCGAGCAATATAAACTCATATATGTAACTTATGATATCTTGTACAACCCCCATTAAAATAGGGGTAAAAAGGTAATATCATCATATTGTATTCTCTCCATTATAAATAAAGATATCATTTCATGTACAAAGAAGGACAAATATACCCGATTTTAGAGTTGGATCAATAAGTGGTAGAATTTAAACTTTAATAAGTGGTAGAATTTTAAAGCTTTTTTGCAATTTGCTTGTATTCATTTATTTAAAGTTTGATCAATTGAAATGAGCACTAGTTTAGATTTCAAGCTCGATTCAATTTCAAGTCGAGCTTGCTTGAAATCAAATAAAACAAGCCGGAATCGATTTTAACATGCATCAAATCCTTCAAGTTGATTCTAGCTAGGCTCGAAATCAGATCTTTCACAACCAGGGCCCCAATGCGTGTCTAACACATTTAAAATAAGGTTGAAGTCATTTAAGAGTGAAATTGGATTATGCACAGATAAATATGAGTCGGGCAAACAGAAGACATGACGAGATATTATATAAACTTGTGCGTAACATAACACCAAACTATCTAATCATTGTTCACCACGCTTATCACATGAGAAAAAAACTTTCATTGACAACATAAATAGATTTGCACACATCACGAGACCTAATGCAAGTTTTTTTGCGCAATGTGAGTTTTCATGTGTCTTCATGTAGAGCATGAGAATTTGATTCTTTGTGCATGATGACTTTGACTTCAACAGCATGAGTTCGATTTCAACTACATGTTTCTTTGTGCCCATCCCATCTTTGTTATTTTCACAATTAGTAATTTGGCATGTTTATTTTAGTACTATCTTTTATAAATATTAACTACCAAATAAAATAGATTAAATTTACTACAAAACCAATTTTAGAAAATGAAAACTAAGTTGGTTATATCTCTATTATTCTCAAAACAAGTAAAGCCATCCAATTTTTTTGTCTGCAATCCTAATATAGCAACAATTTTAGTCATTTTACAGAAAAAAGAACTTCAAGCAGTGCAAATACATATATTTCATAAAATAGTTGCTGTAGTTAATTAATGCATCAATCCAATAAGAAAGGTTTAAAAAACACTTTAAACGTCTAAGTTTATATCTTTTCACTTTTACACAATAAAAGAAAGATCGATAGTCCACTGCCATCTTTTCATATATCACCATGCAAAATTCAAAAACACACAAGACATACCTCATCAAAATGCTTTTCCTTTTTCATTGACTTCCGCACAGAGCTTCCTTCCTTTTGATGCTCGTCAATACCCCCATTCGCAAGCTGATTTTCACTCAATTTCTTCTGAGGATTCTGTAAGTTAGCATTTTCTTCAAGCTTATCCAAGACAACACTGGAAAGTATCTTTGCAGGTTCTTTGAATTCCTGATTGAGCTGTGATGGTTCGCTGCAAGTCAAAGCTTTATGATCACAAGTTTCCTTTTCCTCTTCAGCAACGTCTAATGCTCTTTCATTGGATGAAGACCTCTTCCTCTTCTTGTTTGTTGTCGTTTCAACATCAGAAGTGTTCTCTAATTTCTTACTCTTACCTTTCTTCTCATCTTTTCTGCTTCTGTCCGCATTTTCTTGTAGATCAATGACTAAGTTATCCGAGTTCACGGATTCTTGATGTTTGGTAGAGGCATAAGCCGCTTCATCATCAGATTTTTTTGTAATCACTTTTTGATTGACACACAATTCACTCTGCTCCTGAAGTTTCTTAGCTTCCTTCTTCTTCTTCTTCTCACCTTTATCTTTCTCAAAATCACCAGTTGCAACATTAGGCTTACTGGTCAAATCCTTGGATTCTTCAATTTTCTCCTTAGCAACCACTTCAAAGTTTGTGCGGGCTACTTCGCCCATACTTTCTCCAGGTATCACCTTATGTTTCTTTTTCTTTTCAGTGGAGGCATAAGCCGCTTCATCATTGGATTTTTTTGTACTCTCTTTCTGATTGACACCCAATTCACTCTGCTCCAGAAGTTGCTTAGCTTCCTTCTTCTTCTTCTCACCTTTCCCTTTCTCAATATCACTTGCTGCAACATTGGGTTTACTGGTCAAATCCTTCGATTCTTCAATTTTCTCCTTAGCAATCACTTCACAGTTTACGCGGGCTACTTCGCCAATAGATTCTTCAAGCATCACCTTATGTTTCTTTTTCTTTTCTACCTTCGAAGGCTTTTCATGATCAGTATTTTCTTCTGTTCCAAGGGTTGTATCCAAGCAATTTTTTTTAGAATTTTCTTGTCCAAATGAATCAGAGACTTGCTTAATTTTTCTCTTTTTGTCTTTAGTTTGGACATCTGAATCATCAACAATTAATTTTTCTATATTCCATATCAATGATTTAACATCAAATTTTAATAGAGTGCGAATATAAAAACAATGCGGGATCCATGCAATGAAATCATACCTTGTTCTTTTGACCAGTCTATGCTAGCAATTGGATATATTTTACTGCACATGCAAACAAATTAAAAAATTAAAAAAAAAAACTTTAATTAAAGGAAGATTACATACATACCACACAATTCCTATGTATTTACATATCCAGCACGTAATACATGCCAACTTAACTACGCTTAAAAAGGTGTATTCACTTTTTAAAAGTTAAAATGGTAGCATTTTTTATATTAAATATTGGATGGCATAAATGTAAAAGAAAAGTTTGGGTGTTAGATAAATAGATACATAAGAATTGATTGCTATGTATGTAAATGTCCCTTAATAAAAATAACTGAGTTGATTAAAAGAAAAAGCAAACAAAATAAGAGAAATGCATACAAGAATCAACACAATGAGGCAGAAAAGTAGGTGGAAACCATATAAAAAAAAGAAATTTGGAGGTCGTTTCAGTAACGAGACTTCAAATAAACAAAGGATAGACAACTCAAAGATAGCGCAGTTCAGCAAATCAAACTAATTCTATTCTAGTTATCCAATGAAAACAGAACACAAAGCACAAGAATATCATTCAAGATAAGCTAGATTTGTCATTTTAACTCATTGAGGCAAAAAGAAAAGAACTGTGATAACATTGATCAAGGTTAATGACTCCAGGGTTCACAAAGACAGTTTTTATTTATTAAAATTAAGGATGATTTACATGCATACCACTCATTTCTTATGTATTTTATATATTTAACACCTAAACATCAATTTTCACTTATATGTTATCGTACCTATGCATAGAAAGCTGTTTTTCACTTTTTAAAATTAAAAAATATTAGCATTTCTGATGTGATATGAAAATTTTGGGTAGTATAAATATAAAAATGGAAGTTTAGGTGTTAGATATGTAAATAAATAAGAATTGGGAGGTATGTATGTAAATGCCCCTAAACTTAATAGACAAAAAAACCTTATCTAAAACCATATCGTGATATTCTACTGTAAACATAAACCATAATTAAAAAATAAATAAATCAATCAAAGTACATCAGTACTTCAGCATCGCCAACAAAAAAATAAAAAATTTCCTCTTCTAATCAAATTTACATGAAGTTCAACCATATAAAAGAAATCTTCTGGCAGAAAAATCACAGTTGTCCTCCAAGCTCCATGTCTAAACGAGATTCTACTGAGATTTACAGTTGTATAGTTAATAAATCATACTATGAAATTCCAAATAACAAATAGAGGCAAACTGATTAGAAAAGAATTCTTGAACCAACATTTCATGGCAATATAAATAATTCCGCTTAGAACATCAATTTCATTTTATGGAGGAACAATAATTATTAGGGTTAAGGTATTTGATGGAAAATGTAGACAAATAAAAGATCTCTATAATATTTATTGACCTTCAAAAACAACAAAACTAAGCGCATATCTCAAACAATTCTTTTGTCCATGCATATCTCACGCCTAAACTTTCATATTAACACATGTAGCACTCAAATCTTTAATATCACATAAAAAATAGCACTACTATCACTTTTAAAAAGTGCAATGCATATTTTTATGCTTAGTTTAAAGCAACAAAGTGCAATGTATGTAAATATGAATTTTAGGTATGAGATATGTAAATACAAAAGAATTATGTGCTACATATGTAAATTTCCCTTTTTTTTTTAGGGGAGGTGTCAAGGAAGATGGAATGTGTGCATCAATGGTATGTCAAAATACCACAAGAATCACTTTGACACCTTTTTTATGAGGATATTAACCTATCCTAAATATTTTACTAATTTAAAGTAGAGTACGAGACCAATTACTGATAAGGGAGATCAGTTGCAGATCAAATTTCAATGCAAGAAGCAAGTGAATATTTAATTTAAAGAAGGTTGCAAGCTAAACACTTCAGATGCCACTAGAATTAATTTGACATTAATAAAAAATGAAATGGTAAATTCATAACTATGGTAGTCAACAAATTTACACAATTTAACCAACAAACTAAAACTTATGCAGGAGAAATTGCTCTAGCTGAAAGGTTTAGCATCGTCAGCAAGTGAACATTTTTTTTAAAATGAAAAGTTAGAAATATGCATATTGCAGCAGGATGTATCTCTTCCCAAAGAAACCTTCTTGAAGTCTAATAAATTCAAGTTCTACCCGGCCAATAACTAATTTTTCTTTAAATGTAAGTTCAACTTGCTGAGAAAATAGTAATAGACAAATAAAAAAAAAAAGGACACAGCTTGAACACTAGAATCAGATCTTGTTTACCCAATATGCATGCCATGAGGAGCCCGCTTTATTAAATGAAAATAAACGGAATGGTGAACTTCTCAGAGACCAATAAAGATGCTAGAGACAAATGCTACACAGTTTCTCGTAAGTTTCAATAACTGAAATGTCTAATGAACCCGAAATGAAAGACCTCCCCAAAAAAGCAAATGTATAAAACATAAACAAGCCTCCTTATCTTCAAGTAATAGATATAATCAAAACTTATGGAGTGTATGTACTAAAACTGTCAGCATGAATCTTAAAGATATCAGGCGGCCAAGGATGATGGTTGGACCACTGAAGCGTCCAACTTAATGAGCGTGGTCCGTGTCAGCTAGCTGATGATTGTCCACTCGATCAAGTAGGCCGACACGCAATGCCAGCAGATACAGCCGACAGACCATGCCCACGGTCCCAACTACCCTCTCTTCGTGCAAGGAGGCCCGGTCAACACTGACCTGCCAACCGGCTTTATCTCAGTAAGAGCAATTGACAAACGACCAGTCGCCCCAGTTGACCGAACCCAGATATACCGACTAGTTGATAACCGTCGCATTCAAATCAAATTGTAATGCAAATTTAGTATTAAATCAACATATTAACTGCATTAAGGGCGATTTTCATAATCGCTCTCTCCTTTCGATAATTGAGGATTTCCATTTTTGCTCTCTCCTTTATACAATTGCACAAAAAAACTTCCTATAAATAGGAGGCTCTACGATGAATAAAGAGAATTTTTCCCTGGCCTCTTTACTTAGAATTTCAGGACGTTTTCTTCTCTCTCCTTCTCCTTCTCCTTCTCCCGGCTTTAACTCTCGAGGCGTGTATTTCCAAAAGACAATTCAGAATTCAACATGGAGAAATAACACTAAAAAGTTCACACATTTGCAAAAGGAAAAAAAATTATATCTTCAGTCACCTACGTATGTGTCATTACCAATATAACCGAGCCATTTAAATCTCAGTATAAAAATTCCTACATGAAATGTTTATTTACTTATTCAAAGAAATTGTTCTTTATTGTGTAAGAAATGCAAAAAAAAAATCTCTTAAATTTTAATAACTAAAGTTTAATGAGAAAGAAATAACAACAACAACAACGAAATAAAGCTTTTATCCCACTAAGTAGGGTCGAAAAATCATGACATAAATCCTTTAAATTAATGTGTAAGTTTCATGACGAAGCAAATTTTAAAAAATAAATAAATAAAAAGAAGCGATGATATTCAATGGTTCATTAAAATGAACAACCAAAGATCTCCCCAATAAAGCAAAAGCACTAAACATAGAAGAGAGCCCCCTTATCTTAAGGTAATAAATATAATCAGAGTTTATGGCGAAATAACAGTAATAAAGTCCTTGTATTTGCAAAAGAAAAAAAAAATGTTGCATTCTTCAATCATATGAGTATCGTGGCATCACTTTGATAAAAGCTTCAGCTAGAAGAGCAAATCATTTATATCCCAAAATAGACATTCTTCGATTAAAAAGCAAGAATTAATTTAAACAATGAAAATATGGCATAGTACCTCAACTCAATTAACTTGTCACATGAATCCTCCAGGTTAAAACAAGAAACTCCTGTATTGTTAACCTATTCAAGTAATAGAAATATGAGTTCTACTTCTAATGATAAATTTCATTAAAAAAGCAATACAATAAAAATTTAATGGTCAATGGATCAACAAATTCAACATCTAATGCATAACAAGAAACTGAAAACATGTATACTGAATCATAACTTTTTAATCAAAAAAAGCATAAACATAAAATGATATAAAAATAATAATATATATTCAAATTAAGGAGATTTTTTGTCAATAAATAAAGCTAGTAATTGCAAGCGGAGTCTCGGAGGGGGAAACTTAGCTAAGCCTATCGTAGTGGATAAAGAACCTTTGAACCAGTACGAACACTAATGGCAAAAAAATCCAAGTTGGGATCTCCACAAAATCATGCAAGTACTAAATCCCAAGGAGAGAGACTTGTTCCAACAACTACTGTTACAAAACCTACATATTCCATCATAAAAATAAAAGAAAAAAAATGCCACAAGCATTGTGTCGTAGTTAGAGATAGGAAGGTTTTTCTATTAATTAAAAAAGGGGGCATTTAAATACATGCCACTCAAAACATCCTATTTTAAATATCTAACACCCTAAACATTAATTTTACTTATCTACCACCTTAAAATCTTTAATACACCAAATGTATCAACACAATGAGAGCCATCACCCGCTGCTCGCCTCACTTGGGACGACACCAACTGGCTTAAGTCCTCCTATGAAAGAGTCCTCCCAATGAATCTCACCTTCTGGATTTCCGCCTGTTGTAGCAG